GTATCCGAGAAGCCTTCCTCAAGTCCCACACCCATCAAGCCCATCCCAAGTGTAACCAATACTTTGGCTATATTCACCATAAATTGATTTTGTTTTGTTTTGAGCTTATATAAAAGGAATAAACTTTACTAGTAGTAAACTCTAAGATCTACTCTCACTTATCATAAACTCTGTAAGACTTATGCATACTGTTACATCTATGAGTAAATTGTTCTTTTTCATTGTTGTATGGTATTCCATTGCTTAAACATAGCACAGTTGATTTTTTTCTGCTCTGTGCATATAGCCAGGGGTGGGTGTTCTGTGCCCTTCTGTGTGCATGTTCAGTTTACAAAGGTAATGCCAAAGTGGTTTTACCCAAAGTGGTTTTACTGATTGACACTCGCACATATTCTTTAACATTTTGCATATTCTGTCTTTTGAATTTTAGACGATGAACTAGGTGTCAATTTCTATTCCCCTAGTGACAAGCATGTTGCATGTCTTTGCATGTGCATTGCATTTTATATTCCTTCCATTGTAAATGACCCATTCAAAGTTTTTAGTGTAGGTTTATTGCTTTTCCTACTGATGTGTTGTTGATTTTTATATATTTAGAACATAAATTTATTTTTTTCAGAGAAAAGCAATAATAATTTCTTACTTTGAGGCTTGAAATTTTTTCTCTAATTAACTGTTTTTAATGAGCGATCTTTTCCTTTATGGTCAATGATTTTCATGTCTGGTTTATAATATCTTTGCCTACTTTAAGACATGCAGAACGAAGACAGTACAAACACACACAATTTAAGGGTAATTATCTGTGATAATTATCTGTGATATTACAAATTGTTATTTTCTTTTTGATTATTTCTATTTTGCAATATTTATGTAAACAGATGTTCTAGTTGAAAAAAAGAAAATCTGTTAAAACTAAGGGACAGTGACGCTAAATTTGAAAAACAATATTCAGTCCCATTTCATAGATTGTTCATGATGAAAAGGTAACATAAATATCAGGATATTATTTAACCAAAACACTGTCCTATGTCTGAAGGTGTTCATAGGCAAAGGCGGAGAGTATACGATGGTAAAAGCGATTTGATATTTTTTTAGTCAAATCAAAAATTTAAAAATGTTTATGGGTTCTCATCAGTGATAATTATCTGCTGCCTGCTGATGCCTTTTTACCAATTGGCGACCATCCAACTTGCAACTGCATATTTAATTAGCACATCAATTTATTCTCATTAGTGAGCCTGTGAGATAGTAAATAATTCAAAGGTTTTCTACCAACACACACATTCACACTAACTCTCCACCTTGCAGGTTGGAATCAGGAGACCAAATGGGTATGAATTCCTTGAGAATTTCTCTCCCTTGGAAAACCTTTTTTGAGAAAATGGAAGTGAATGATGTAATTAATTAGATAATTCTCACTCATGTGGGACATGGGTTTTTCTTCATGCCCTTCACAAATTACAGAAAATCTAAAGGGTCTTTGTAAATGTGCTGACCAATAATCATGTGACTACCAAAATATTTCCCTCAATTTTAACTTCATTTGAACATTTCAGGAGATTGATTTGTTCATTTTCGGGTTTACCTTTGATTTTAATTCCTTCCAAGTCTTTAATATTTTTTTAGACATCAACTCAAAAGGCACAAAAACATTCAATCCTGAGACTTCCTCAAACAAGGTAATTTAGAGAATGCTTATAGCAGCTAGCAATGCCCACTAAGGTTTGTTGTACTCAATATGAATACAACAAATATTATCCTTGCCAGATGCTTTCCTGCATGTGGGGGGGTTAGAGTGGCGAATAAGGTGGACGAAATTCTCGCACTCAGGAAACACGCATTCTCATTAGGGAGGCAGACAGAAGACATGCAAATAAAATAAGTTAATTGCAGGCAAAAATAAGAGGTATAAAAAAATAAAGCAGAACAATGTGAGAAGGAATAAAAGAAGAGGCAGACAGAAAACAAGCAAACAAAATAAATAATTGCAGGCAAAAATAAGAGGTATAAAAAATAAAGCAGAAGGTTGTGAGAAGGAATAAAAATGATCAGAGCAGTGGTTCTCAAAGTGCAGGGAAGATGTGGCATCTCCCCACTTCACCAGAAACGGAGGGGCAGGAATCTCAAGCCCATTTGCACCTCCGTGCGGCGTGTCCCTGTGCAGGACACAACCACAGCTACGTCTGGTGGTCTCAGCTGCATGAAAGGAATGAGTTACCTTTACCTCTACTGCTTGTGTCAACTCAGGGTGTGGTCACTTGATGGGTGTGCAAACCGTACAGTTGCTCAGGGCCTACACTGCAAAGGGAGTATGTCTGATGTAATGCTGTGGTGTTGCTATCCAGCTATTCTTGACAATTTTATCTTTGAACTTATGTCTCCTGAGTGAAGTGCGATAGGGCAGTGGAGCACGCACTTGAGCAGAAGAGTCACTTACAATATGACCGTCCTCTGTTCTTTGCTATCTTTTCCTATGTAAGGTCTACAGTGGCTCATTGAGCACAAAATTCTGGTGGACACACAATGTGGGAACGTTTAACGAGACTCAAAGCAAGTACAGCAGGTCCTCAAATAACATCATTTCATTCAGAGTCCTTTCATGATAACACTCATGAGAAAAATATCTGATCCCAGGCCACTGTCTGTATGTAGTTGGCATGTGCCCCCCCCCCGATGTCTGTGTGGGTTTTCTCCAGGGACTTCTGCTTCCTACCACATTCCAAAGCTGTGCCTATTAAGTAAATTGGTGCATGCACATGGCATGGGGTGGTGTCCTAGCCAGGGTCGGGTCCCACCTGGCACCCTGAGCTGCCAGGAAAGACTCCAGCCACCTGCAACCGCGACTGGAATAAGTTGGTAGGAAGATGAAGGAATGAATACAAATTATTGCAAAATAAAAATTCATAAAGTATACCATAATTATACAAATGCACAGCAACACATGTTGCAGTAGGAAAGCCCTCAAGGAAACCCACCCTCTTAGTTACCGCCATTTGTTTGGGAATTTCAGGGCTGCAGGAGGTGCTCCTGACATTTCTCTTTGTAAACGTTTTTTCCTTGATTCAATTCACCACCATCATGACTGCTTTCACTCACTGATTCACCCAAAACTGGGTAAATCATTATCTTTCACTTGTTCTTAATTAATCTTTTTAAATGTATGCACAGCTCGTACCTATTTCAATGTTAATATTAGAAGTGTTAGGGGTTTCTATTTAGAAGTTTGGTAATGTTTTTGTGACCAGAAATACACTGTAGCAACTGAGTGATACCTCTTGTTTATATCAGTCAGCCTATGGTCAGATTGATTTCTTTATACGTCGTTTCACTTAAAGTCACAGTTTCCAAGATCCTAAGGCGTGAAGCGAGGACGTACTGTGTGAGGTGTGTGAGTTACAGCTGTGATTGATGCACAGGAGCAATGGCAGGCGTGAGACACTACATTTTCCATTTGAGCCAGAATTTGCTTCTATCTCAGAAGACAATGTTCCAAGTGTGAAAATTGTCAGAATCAAAATGGAATCATTAAGCCGGGCGCAGCGGTGCACACCTGTAGTCTCAGCTACGAGGGAGGCTGATAGGAAGGTCGCTCGAGCTTAGAAGTTTGAGGCCAGCCTGGACAACACAGCAACCCCATCTCTTAAAAATATTTAAAAAGTTTGAAAAATTGGAGTCCCTAATGTTTAACAACAATAGAACCAAACCAAACCCCTGACAAACAGAGCTGGGCAAGGCTATGGAGAGAGAGTTCTCACCCTTGCATGCCTGACAATAGAACTATTGCAAAATACTCTACAAAAACCACAGTCTTGCCCACAGGTCACCACAACCTTACACAAAAAATAATTTTGCAAAATCATCTGCCCAACAACTGCCTGTCCCACCTCCTACTGGCATCATCCTTATAACTGATCCTTATAATCAAGGATAATCATTTCAAAACAATTATGTAATCCTTCTCATTTTTTCTTTAAATATCTTTGTCTTCCTTTACCTCCCTAAATATGCACACAGTTTACTGTGACATGTGTATTCCCATTGCAACACTCTGTTCCCAAAGAAATAACATTTTCTTTTAGAGAGCCCCACCCTATTCCTTATGTCTGTTGATATAAGAAACATGAAGGATCGGGGAATCCTATCACAAGCTTTCTTATGTTACTTTTCTGAACTGGACAACCACTGGTGCTGAAAATGATTTCATAGAAGGAAACAGAAAGACATGGAAAACCAGAATTCCTTTTTCTTCCAGCCCTTTCTTACTCCTCAGTAAGCTGAGGGTAAGGGGCATCGGTAGAGTGTGTGCATGAAATAAAGACAGCTGAGTGAGTGAGTTTCTTGCAATGTTTCCACTATTCTGGTAAGAAGAAAATATATTTGTGTGTGTGAACTCTAAAATAGAGTTGCATAATTTTGGAATTCTGCATATGAGCTAAATGTTCAAATATTTGTACCTAAAACTAGCATTGCATAATATAAAAAGATATGGTTAAATTCATATCAATAACTTTATTTTATTTTACTTAGGAAATAGCAAATATTTACTAGAATATAATTAAATAGCAAATAAAATGTACATTATGGTAAAGAAGAGACAGACTAGGGAATAAAGGAAAAAGCTTAATATTTTAGCACCTTTAGCAGCCCTTACTTTTGGCTTTATGAATCAGAGACACCCCATATTTTCATTTTGTACTAAAATCTGCAAATTATGTATCTGGTTCTGCCTGTGGGAAACAAAATCCAACTCAGTTCCCGAGACTTTAGTAAAGAATCTAGATAAATTTGGGCAGAATGAAGGGAACGGACTGGTGCTAAAGTACTCAGAGATTAGCAACAGGGAGGGGGAGCCCTTCACCCCCCATCCTCCAACCCTCCAACCCTTACCCCCACTCCCACCCCTACCTGCAGGTGGAGGGGATAAATTATTTTCATCTCAGCCTGTGAGAGTGAGCAATTGGGGAAAACACGTTCTGACCTCTCTCTGCTCCTGCCCTCAGATCTCCTCCCTGTGCCTGACTTTGGCAAACTCGACTGGAAGCCAGCCCTCTGTGGAGTTTGAGGGATGCAGTCCCTGGGATCAGACTCTCAGGGCAACAAAACATGTCAGAGAAGGGCAAAGGAAGTATCTGAGGTGAGGACGAGTTGAGTATTATGGTGATAAAAAAATAATAATAATAAGCATTTAATTCCAGTCCCCAGTGTCTGGCACAGAGCTCCTAAAACCCTTTCCATCTCCTGAGAGTTAATAATGTCTTTTGAATGTTCCTGGCAGGGGCCCCTACGTAGCTGCAGGATGGAGCCTGGTTTCCAGAAAGACCAAGCCATGATTAGAGGGTTGGAGCTTCTAGCCCCATCCTGCTCCCTTTCAGGGAGGGCAGAGGGACTGGAGATTGAGTCCAGTCACTGGTGGCCAATGATTTAATCAATCATGCCTACCTACATGAAACTTTCCTAAAAACCCTTAAAAGATGGGGTTTAGAGAGCTTCCACCCTCCATCAAAGTGCTCCAAAGGTGATGAGCTCTGTGGAATCTCTGCCCCTCCCCCCACCAAACCTTGCCCTGTGCATCTCTTCTGCTTGGCTGTACCTGAGTCGCATCCTGTATAATAAAACGGTAAATGAAAATATAATGTTTTCATGAGTTCTGTGAGCTATTCTAGTGAATTATCAAACCTGAGGAAGGGAGGGGGAGGAGAAGGTTATGGGGATCTAAGAACTTGCAGTCGGCTGAGTTAAAATGTGGTTACACTGGGTGCTCTGTTTGCAGCTTGCATCTAAATTGAGGGCAACCTGGTGGGGCTTGTGGGACCTGTGGGGTCTGCACTAACCCCAGATAGTGTCAGAATTGAATCGTTGGACTCCAAGGTGGTGGTAGAAAATTGGTTGGTGTCAAATGTGTTTCCATTCTTTCTTGATCATACCCAGCCGAAGGAGTTTATAGAAATAGGCAAACTTGGCATGTGTGTCCAAAGACAAATCTGCAATTTTTTCAATGCAAGAGTTGCCAAAATATTGAAGCCTTATTCATTCTCAATTGGGCCTGTTACGCAAATATGAAGGCAGGCAGAGAGAGAGAGAGAGAGCGAGCGAGCGAGCGAGCCAGCCCTGCATATAGTGACTGCCAGGCCATGGCTATAGTTTAAAAGGTTTTTGAAAATCAACATCTCAGTGTCCCATGGAATAAGTGGAGCTCGTTAAAGTAAGCCTTTTTCAAGTTATTGAATGTCTGACAAGAAGATATCCTTTTTATGAAAACCCTAAGAAACTTTTTTATGGTTTTAGGAGAGAAATTATACAGGCCCCTGCTAACAGTCCCAGATACTTGCTTACAGTAAGTGTATGAAGAGAAGGTGGGGGGTGGGGCAGGATCTGTACTTGGTAGTTGCTATGCAACAATGCATTTGGCCATTGCTATTCCAGATTTAACAACCTTTAACTCATGCACTTTCTTGGACAGGCAGCTAATTTACAGCAAGTAGCCCTCACACTGATTCTACCTCTTCATCAGAAATGCCGGTGCCATGCTAAATTATGTGGTCTATGACATACCAAGGCATGGCAATTCAGGTTAATATACTGCTGGATTCCTACAATGTAGACTCTACAGTGATTATTAATGAAAAGCTGTGCTCAGTGTAAAATTAATGTGCCATGGAGCTATGTTTTGGCTCAATAAAAAAGCCAGATAACTAATCTCTGCTCCTGTTTATTAGCAGAATGCTGGGCTCATTATTGCCCAAGTAAACTGGCAATATTCTCTGAAATGTCAGTCTATTGAGCTTTGATTAGGGACAGAGGGGACATTCTTCTTCACTGTCAGTGTTTTTGTTTTTGTATTTTTCCTTTTCTACCCAAGTTCAACCCTGAGGTTAGGGGTGTGGTGTGTGTGTAATAGGCTACCTCCAACTAAGTTATGTACTAAGATCATTTATTATAATTTCTGGAAGCACTTATGGAGCAAGGATGCCGTAACTAGTGCTGGTTTAGCCTCTTTGCATTCATCTCTTATGTAATCTTCATGATAGCCCATAAGATATTGGCACACAGTAGATTCTTAATAAATGCTCAATGAATGTTCAGCCTAATGTTAGCCACTGTGGAGCCTGTTCCTTTTTCTTTTGTCATGCAAGCCCTCCTCCCCGCTTAATCTGGTAACTTCACCTGAATCTCTTCTACCACCATCATGACCGTGGTGATGGGCATGTCACCTAGACCAGCCAGCAACCGTGCCTCACTCCTTCTACCATAGCTCAGGAACCAGGAGTGGGCCCAGGCCCAGGCCCAAGCCAATCAAAGCACTTCCAAAGCCTTTGAGACAGTCCACAGGTGTGAAAAGGCCCCTTTCCCCTTCTCTGATCATGCAGTTGATATCACAGGATTAGGGGCAGGGTGAGAAGAGCAGGGTGCTGAGGGCACAAAATTTAAGGCATCATCGATTCTCAGCATCAGGCAAGTGCAGAGTTGCTACCTGAAAGTAAATTCTCTCCTGAGTATTCTGTACCCAGGTATCTGCCTTTCTGGCCACAGCCCTGTGCCAATCCAGGTAAGGCATGAACCAAGAAGTGCCAGCCAGCAGCCATTCCTTTAGCCACATGAAGAAATCCATTTCAATTAAAGACAGTAAAGTCAATATGCAAAGTAGGCCTACCCATAGCATTTGCAGGGCCCAAGGCAAGTGTGCAAATGAAACCCACATATCATATGTCTAAATATTTAAACTTTTTTAATAAGCTTATGCCAACAGCCCTGCTGGCATCTGTGCCCAGTGACCATAGACATTCCCAGGGTCTGCCCTCAGGACCCAGAGGTTGAAGGGGCTGCACTCCTCCACGGCCGCCCCAGCCTTGCTCCTTGCAAACCTGAATTATAGCAGAGATCTGCTGGGGGGTGAGGGGCAGTGGACAGAGCTGAGCCTGGGCTCAGGACTCTTTGGAGATGAGTCCCCTGGACCAGTCACTGAGAAACTGATGAGGGGCCAGTGTAGAAGGGTTTCCTTCCCTCACACTTCACTTTCCTGAGGTAGAATTTCCAGGCCATTCTAGGATGTCCAGGACCCCAGAGGGGAAAAAAAGGTGTAAGTATCTGTAGGACTCAGTCTTCCAAAAATCTCAGTTTGGGTTTTATAGTTTATATCAAAGCATCCCATCTCAGTGTTCCAGGACAAGGGCTTTAAATTTTCTCTCCTGTAATTCCTGTGCACAAAAGTCACCAAACTTAGTGTTTATCAGATTGAAAACAAACAAAGAAAAACAAACCCAAGAAACAGAAATGTTTGTGTCTCAGGATCAGCATGAAGCAGGGCCCCTAAGGCAAAAATCCCTACGCTACAGAGTCTAAACAGACAGACATGGTCTCCAAAGAGCAAGGCCCCCGAAGGTGGAACATCCCTTAAGCTCAGAGCTTGCCTGCATGTGGCTGGAGCACAATTCATCCTCCATTCCCAGACTGAGTAAGTTGAGTTGGCTCTGGGGCTTCCAAACCCCACAGACAGTGGAAGAGTTCTACATTCAATCTGAGAGTGGGAGGTGAGACTTGAAGGAGAAAGAGGAGCTGGCCAGGTGACGTGCAGGGGGAGGAAGAGGGTCCTGGAGCTGGCCAGGTGACGTGCAGGGGGGGGAGGGTCCTTGCTAGATAGAGGATGTCAGGTTAAGGCAAGAAAGCATTTAGCAAATTCAAGGAACTGAAATGTGTCTCACAGAAAAAGGGGAGGGGGGGAGAGAAAGGGAGAGAGAAGAAAGAAGGGGAGGGGTGGAGGAAGGGAGAGGGGGCAGAGAGAAAGAGGGGAGAGAGAGGGGAGACAGGGGAGAGAGAGAGAGAGAGAGAGAGAGAGAGAGAGAGAGAGAGAGAGAATTGAGATTGAGAATGAGAATGTGAATGTGAATGTGATTGGGGAAGTTGACAGGAGCCCCATCAAGTAGGGTGTTGTGACACCGGCAAATCATTGATGAGTTCTAAGGAAATGACTAACAGGATCTGATTTAGGCTTTTCAAGGTTCATACTGTGGATTGGGGGCCGGTGGTGTGGGTAGAATGGACCCAGCTGGCATCCCACTTGGACCAGCGCAGTGGCAGTGGGCACGCGTGTTGGGATGCATGACATGAACATCTGTCTCCCATGTCCAGGTGCCAGGTGTATTTCTTACAGGCATTTTCTACCCCAAATTGTTTCTCTCTCAGATGTTAGTTCAGCCCAACTTTACCCGTGACACAGAGCAGGCTAGCTACCGCAGGAGGGCTTTTTATCTCCATGTGAGATTAGAAGCAGAAAAAGTTCCCTGGGTCAACAGAATGGCCACATAGACTGTTGGAGTTTTAAAAATACCCCTTTAGAGCAACTTCTGCATGATATGAACTGGAAGAACAAAGAAAATAAAGCTTTGGTAAATGTGAAACCCTCTCAACCTCTCTACCAGGCAGGCACAGTTTTAAAATGTCAGACTAGACACAGCTCAAGAACAAAGGCTGCTTCTGCACAGGCAAAAGAAGTGTACTTCTGCACAGGCAAAAGAAGTGTACATACAAGAAAACTGCCTGTCTAAATCTATCCACAACTATGCCTGAATTATCTAGACAGTGTAGGCAAAAATGTATTTAATTATTGAAATAAGATCTGGATAGCATGACTTTTGTTTGCACGTATCAAGAGCCATTCAGGAGGTCTTTGACGTCAGTTTTCTGTTTTCTTTTTTTTCCCCTCCCTACTAGATAAAATGTTGGGAGAAATATTAAGCAACTCAAAATGATCTTACTCCAATATTTATCAATCCAACACTTTGCTATGGATAAAGTGTTAACTGAGACTCTGGCAGGCTATATTATGGGATTTGGAAATCTTATCCAAAAGCATACTTCATCTCAAAAGATGAGCTTGTACATGATTTGATAATAGACTCCCTTTCTCACTGTAGAAAGAATCCAAAGGCAAATGTAAACAGAGATAAAAAATGAAGAGGCATTTAAGGCAGAGGAATGCCAAATGACCAGCTTTTGTGATCTGTGTTGGGAGAATGGAGTTTCTTAGTGTTCAAGAAAAAGACTATTTTTCTTGAACAAATCCACTCAACAGGGCAGGCTGAATGAATCCATTAGATGTCTTTTAATCAAGAGATTAGAACTTAGTGCTCTGTCTGT